TTCGTACGTTGTGAATGCAATACTACATTAGGTAYTACACTTAAAAAAACRCACACACAACTTTCACGTTTTATACAACCTACAGTAGGGATAGATAATATAATAAAAGTAAAACTCTGCGATCCATTTTTGTGTAAAAACAAACTGCCTGATTTAATTAGAAAGTTTAAGTGGGTAATGCAGGATCTATGCGATTTGAATATTATTACATTTTTTTACCAATTTATTAATTACGCTGATTCTGACCGTCACCGTMACAAAAATATAATAAASTATAAGGTAATAAACTTTTACTATGTAAAATCACGACAAAACCTGCCGTAGTTTTCGATGGCTGCAATAAATTAACTTGTAACATTACACATGAGAGTTATTCGCGATTTGTTTTTTTGACATTATTTAGTTAATTTTTATTACAATGAATACGATACGCAGTAAAATCATATTATTATAACGATAATTTCAAATGATACTTACCTAGTCATTTGTTTTAATATGTAATAACGTGTCTTAAAATGTGTTACATCGAAACGAACAATCACAATATGTAATGTTTGCGGTCAATCGGTGAAAGATTTCCATTGTTTGGAATATAAATCACTGTAAATTGAAAATCATTTTTTACTTTTGCTAAACAGTAAACACGATTAATCAGCCGGTAATAATATTTTCACCATTTGCCAATGAAACACATTTTTCCGGCCATTGCAGTCGTAATTGTTGGTCTATAAATACTTATATATAATATTCACATGTATATATAAATACCGCTGATCTACAACACTATTGTTACTGCTAATGAAAGCATTCATCATCCSAAAACGTATACAATGAGACCGGAGGTGATTAAGTAATTTATAAATTACTTTTAATAAATATATATAATACGGGAGGAAAATTATAATTGGAGCTCACGGACACTAGGTCACCGTCTATAGTTAATGTGCATGATGATGAAGTCTGAAATGGAAATCTAACCACCTTTTGTGTGCTCCGACGCTGAAACAGTTTCGTAAAACCTCATGGAAAACGTATTATTATTATTTTAATGTCGATATTCGYGGGGTATTAATATAATAACCACACCGATGTCGTTTTTACATTTGGAATGAGATACGACGCACAAGAATCTGTATGTAAATATTTTGAGATGATTGCGTGTTTACAGGTTGTCTATTATGATTGTCCTCGTATATCTAGCTAGTATAACCACTTAATAAATCCCCGTTTACGGCAAATCGTCAAATCCAACAATATTATAACATATACCATCTGCTATATTACACTCATGTCTAAAGTTGTACCGAAGTTTTTTCGGGCTATATCAACATTTAAGAAACGTGAAACAAATACATATTTATAAAAAATTACTTTTTTTWAAATTTGGAACAGCAGGAGAGAACAACCTGCAAAAAAAATTCATATCATACAAAAAATACTTGAGACGTTGGAGGATCACCGCAATAATAYAAATACAAAATTTTGAAATTAACAATAACAATCATGCAACATCATACAGCAGCTGGTAGACCACGTGCGGGCACAAACATGTGAATTTACAGGATATAATAATATATATAATAGTATRTGTAAGTACAGGCGGTACAGCATCAGTGGGCACGCAATTTGTCCGCCGATTGATCGTTGCATATACGGCGATGTAAAAACCATAATTTCTTTCGTGAAGATACTTAACATACATATACGTGTATTATAAACCATGTCGTGAGTATAATATTGCGTGTGTCGTATGTACAAACGTTTAAGTCACCGTGCGCGGCTGCTGCAGACATCGGAGACGGAAGGTCGAGCGGACCGGCGGACGAACAGTGCGACGCACGGGATCCCGATAAAAACGTGTTAAACGAAAAATACACGTCTGCGGGCTTGGACCTAGTCCAAAATAATAATATTACAACGTCGGCAGAACGTCGTTTATAATATTATTGTGTATACAGGTAGGTTTTGYACTTTTTCGTTTTGGTTCTGTGCCAGCAGTGGCAGCARCAGAGCAAACAGACAACGGTGACGCGATGTATACGAATACCGGTGCCGCTGCTGTATTATATTATTATATTATATGTATCGAGTCACACGGTCGTCGATTTTGACTACCGAATTCGTACCTATACATAATATAATAGTGGATATTAATAAAATAATCGTTAAGTTATGATTRTATAAGGTCTCGCACCGGCCGTGAATCTCGCCGAGTTCGTTGCATCTATATAGAATCACTGGCGACTAGCATGAGTAGCATGCGTCCAAGTATATCAGTATAATAGGCATTGTACATGAATATCTGCGCCAGAAATGTGTGCTTTCGGCGATCGCGTCCGAACACTGTATATACGTATTTGTAACTTGCAGAAACCAACTAGAAGTTCGATATCGGACGTTTCCCCCCGCCATGTGATGTGATGGACGATATCCACGCCGCATTGCGATTTCCATAAAAAATCAAACGAAAAATTGAGAAAACTATCGGTCAGTCATTATAGGCACTGAACCAGCAAATATAAAAAAATAAATAAATAAAACATCATGTAAGTAGGAGGTAGATGATACTTGAAGAAATTACTAACGGGTCCCATGCACCATGCACTGACGGGTTTAACGGTGAGTGTGTCACGCGTTTCACTATAGAATATAATGGGTTCAAGTTAAGAAATGTCAGATATTATGTGTTTATACGATGATTATAATTATATAGGTATTGAACTATGTTATCATTAGGTATTATTTATTACGTCACACAATCAATGTGATGCGTGTGTGTGTGTGTGTGTGTGCTGTATGATAAAATTGTAATAATTATATACGTGCACCCTTGAAACGTGTATGCATTTGTGTGTGAAGACTGGACTGAAGATCCTATTATATATTATGCCATGATGTGTGTTCGAAAAATTATGAAGTACCTAACCCGAAGCCTATATACCTATGTGTGTAATAATTTATAATGTATAAAGAGCATATTATCTGTTCATTGTCCTTTACGAGTCATTGTTTCCATATCATATTATTATTATGTTTATCGAGCACACGCACACAGAGCGGTAGCAGGTTTTAAAACGAAAACAGTATATGTATATAATGTGCGTGAATACTACAAAGCATATTTGAATTTGATACGCTTTAATAATAATAATAATAACAGCCCGTTCTCATAATTACTGATTTTTCTTACAAGGCGAACACTTTTCGAAACGTCTTTGCCGAGTATATTTATAGTATTAACCATATAAGGTGAGTACGCGGGAGGCGGGTAGTAAGGATTTCTGATCGTTTTACGTAGATAAATATATAGTAATGCTCTAATATGTGTATTTGGAACGCCGTGGTTTATTGTCAAAAATCGAACAATAACATTATTATTATGACATATTTTCATAGTTATACATAATTATTTATTGCCGGTAATCGTTAGTGYATAATATTATWTTCAATATTTACCGACAATATTTTTTGTACATACATAATGTTATAGTAAGTATATGGACATATGGTATGGTATCGTCGTGACATATAAATTAAGAAAGATAAATCATTGCCATAGTACATTATTGTGTTATCATAGTAAAACAGTATACTGTAAACATCATAACATATAATAATTTATTGTTGTGTTGTGATGTTTACAGTGATTTCAACTATTGCAATCGCATGTTTTTCCGAGTTACTTGACATTCATCGAGGTTTTAGTTACCATAATTAAAATTAGGAATATACATAGGATGCAAAGTTAATCGTCCTTTCCTAGTCCAATTTTTACTAGTCCAACGCGCATTTAYCGTATTCATCTTTATATTGTAAACATAACATTTCGTTTTATTCACGATAAAATCATCAATTTTATAATCTCGAACTTGTGAAGAATCATTAGACATTTGGCCATGTTCGAATTTATTCACTCGTTGTTTTATTGGTCTCTCGTATATAATATATGAACTCCATCGAATATCATATAATATATATAATACGCAGATAATCCAAAAATCGGATTGTCTGTATACACGAATGCAACATTCACGCCCACTGCAGATCAGTCAACATGTCAAACCAAAATACGCTTTTCAACATCCGAAAAGCGAAAGTATACGACACCTTGTGTACAGAACGTTATATTAACAATAATAATTACACCTATCGAGTCAGCAAGAATAAAAGGATATCTATAGCGAATGGAAACGTTAAAACGTATATCCGCGTGTGTGTGCACGAAGCGTGGAATATAATATTCATCCATATTTATATGATTACGATTATACGCCTTGTTATACTTATGTGTGTGTATGTGTGTGTGTGTGTGTGTGTGCATAAATATATATATATATATACTCGTATATATACACACCTTTACTGGTGATAGGACGTACGCGAAACTCTTCTTCCGGTTGTAATAATAATAATATGTTTTTGCCACATACATTTTATATAATATCATAAACAATACAGATGCAAACGCGTGAGTAGAGATACGGTAGTCGCATATAGCGATAATACCTACGTTATTAAATTATACTCAAAMCCGTGCAAATTACACACGGAAAAATGTATGTTATCGTTCAATTATAACGCACATAATATTGTATATTGTAGGTGCAGGTAGGTCGTATAGGTATAAGTACATGGTAATATATAAAACGTATTACTATTGCACCACGTTATATACCTGAGACCTAACTATGTATACGCCACCATGTGTTATAATAGTAATTATAATAATAATATAAAGCTACATTTACGCGCCTATCGTCTTTATATATAATACACTAAACAGTGCCATATCGTACACTTACTTCCGCGTGACGTGTGCAACAGCTGCTGCTGTGAATTATTACATGTCGAAGTTATATTATATGTTAAGTTAAAATATAAGCTCGCAATAGGTGTACAATTGACGCGCAACGTGTGTATATAAGCGTGTAACAGTCACGTTTAGTTACTAATCATATTGAAATATAATAACCTTAATATTTCGTTTGTAATTATTTCAGCCTGGCGACGACAACGGTGCCCGTTTATCCCGGATGACCGGCGACCACAGAAGACGTCTGTAACGCGCCGTCAACCCACAACACCCACCACCGCGGGTCAGGCCTCGAATTGTCGCCATGGTAATATTATCGACATGGAGTTTCATCAGCATCATAGCGTTCGCGTCTCAAATATTTGCCAACACGGTAATTATTATTTATTACAAAAACGTAATGTAAAAAGTATAGATTATTAATTAGGAATGCTATAATATATTATTACTCGTAATAGTAGGTATGTCTTTGTAATATTATTAGATGTTGGATTTACTATTTCGCGAACGGTTATATATTATGATATTGTTTTCAGTATAGTATTTTTTCATATTTTATTCTATCGTTATTATGCGTATGGTCAAATCAAGAAGTCTCTGCACCGTTTTATTTTCAGTCGCCAGAATGGTTGTCGGATATTATGTAACGGTTGACATTTTTCTACAGTTTAAAATGGCGGATCTTCAGATGTCTGTTATAATAATCTGTGAAATATTTTTGAAATTTGATTTGAATGTTGGTTGATCGACGTTTGTGATTTTCCCTAAGATTCCTAAACAATCATTTCATTAGTATTGTTGGTTGTGATTAAAAATACGGATATCATTATTTAGCACACAATTTTACAGTTTTGGACAGTCGCATGACTTGTCGGTATTTTAAACTTTTTAATACATAAGCATCTTAAATTGTGTATAATATACATTAATATCCCTTATTATATTTACTTACGAATATAATATGCAACCGAGAAAAAACTTTTTTTTTAAATCCATAAACATTTTTACATGATCTCATAACTACTGTCTACTAACCTGCAGAGTGACAAAGTATAATATATTATACACGTGCGTAGTCGATCACAATTCACAAGGGGCGTCGGTGGTCGTCTCCTTTGTCCCTTCTTCGCAGGTTACATAGTTAACGTATATTATGTGTTGCGTGTACCTATTATATACTAGTTGGACCAAAGCGACAACCCATATAGTTAGTTCGTACTACAAAAATTGGTTCATATCGCGCCGCAGGTGTCTTTAGCTATATAATGTAATATTATTATATTAATTGTACAATGTGCATCGTAAAACAACGCTTTTTTTACTATATAATTATAATATAACGCCACTACCGCCTCCCGTGATATTATKGAGTGTGTGTGTACAATGTGCGTGCGCCGCCGATCGGGTTTTTAAATGGTTTTTTACGCAAGTGTCAATATCAATAGTGAACTACTTTGGGATAGGTACTCATGATAACAATATTATCATTATGCGCACGCGTGGCGGAATAATACCACAGGTATACATAATACATACAACCATTATACACATAAATTGTAAAACGATGTAATCGCAACCGATTCGATCGAGATATCTTATTATAATGCATTAATGCATATACCTAACACATAATATTATCATAATATTATAAATAGGTATGGCCGGTATGGGTATAAAACACACGACGTCGAAAATGAAACTGGGCTCGCCGCGTAGATACCTGGTCGTTGTAAGCGGGCAGGGCGATTGCGTCAAACCCCGCGCATTTATCGCGTACACCATAATAATAATAATATATAATACGCGTATATATTATATATTGTGTATAATATATAACATTATACACCTTTAGGTACCTATACACCTGCAGCGGTCGTGACTCGCGAGTTCGTAGTATATATCATATTGGCGAAAACGAAAAAAAAACCAATTCCAATCTAATAACTATATAATAACAATAATATATCATTTTGTGTTTTATGTATTGCAGTACACCCACGTGTCAGTAGGTAAAATTATTATGTTGCCAAACGTCCACCCGCCAGTCCCGATCGGGACACGCGACACGCGAACAATAACAATTCGAAACGAAACAAAATTCCAACGTTGCGGTAAATATTCGTCGATCGTTTTGTCACGATTGACGGCCTCCCGTGGCACTGCCACCGCATTGACACCATCTAGGTCGATTGCTTTATTGTTTCAAGGATTGTGTGCGCACGCCGCGTTATCGTCATTCGATTATGTTATTGATTGTACATATAAAGGTATACTAAACCTGCTATTGTAGTTTTTACCGGCATGACAGCGTTTACGTTATTAAAAAAAAATTATTTTCTATTTCGTTTATCGTACATTATCGGCAACAGCCACCAAAAGGTCGACTACGGCTGGGGTGTGTCTTATTATTAATAATTGGCATTGTTTTAGAATTTAGATCGATTCAGGTAATCGGGTTTATGTAAAATATGTGCCTAAGTAGATACCTTAAGTATATATACACCGATTGGCTAACAAAAACCAACCTATATACGTCGAACTACATAATAATAATATGTATACACTCGATTCCGCTTAATAAGAGACAACGGTTAATAAGGACGATCGTTTAATCGGGACAATTCTTCAATTTTATTACAAAAACAAATATATACTTGTAGTGAAAACGTTTGCCCCTTATTTCGGGCACGAATCCGGATAATCGGGACATATTATTCATCCCATTATTCTGTACAGCATATATACTTTTTTATGAGATATATTTTTTTTAAATAAGATAAAAGAAATAAAAAAATATTCTAATAAGTATGTACGAATTTTCATCAATAATTATTCTATAGGTACCATAATTTTTCTTGTACTAACAAATACTTTATATAATATGTATGAATACATCAATTTGTAATCAGTAATCACTAATTTGTAACAGTATAAATCAGTTTTCCAACAAATTTGTATGTTATTTTTTTATTCGGTTCATTGGGACAACCACTTAATTGCGACATAATAACACAAACCAATGTGTCCCAATAAAGCGGAGTCGACTGTATGCCACATTGCCACGGTGGTGTCTCTCTCACTATCTCTGTTTCAAAGTGTGTAAAACGTTAAATGTTTTCAAAATAATGCTAACATTTCGGTAGTTTTCTCTTTTTCATTTATTTAACTTTTAACGTATCAGTTTTAAATCACAAGAACAATTTAAATAATTAATTTATAATAATATAACGTTTCAACCTCAAATTAAATTTGTTTTAATGTAATATTCTACACGGAAGATGATTCATGATAATTTTATTGAAGGCCTTGTTTGGTTACGATTCACGATTATTATCTATAAAATTAATCCATAAAAGAATAAAAAAACAAATAATTACAATCGCGACGTATATTTTATTATCCCACAATGTGGYGATATATGTTACTTAAGAGTTGTGTACACGCGTGATATTATAATATATGATTGCTTCCATCGACCAGTGAGTAAGTGAGTAAGTACCTAATCGTTTTATAACTTCTACGTCGATCGTAAGACAATGAGAGTGTTTAATAGCAATACATGGATTTCCATAAAATTGGTCGATGTATTATCGACTAGTAATATTAATATTTTTTTTAAATTCGTGGTGCCAAGCTTTCACCAAACGGTTAATAATCCGAATCGTTATCATATATACTTCCCGACAACGTGGGTGAGTTTGCGCTTTCTGCGGTGTCGTTGGCGCAATATACGCAGCTGAATGCAATAAAAGACATGCACACGCTAATCAGAGACGCTTCTCAAGGCAGACGGAAATCCTTGCGGTCACGATACGAGTCGGGGTCCTGGTGCAGTTATCAGCTCTTCTGGAGCGGGCTATACACGATATTATAATAAATTCATTATATTATCTTGTCAGTTTTTGTAAGTCCTTGGGATCCCGCCGCTCCGTAGTATATGTATAGTGCCTACATCCTAAGACATATACACGCATGCGCGTGCGCGCTTGCTGCTATAGACTTATTAATAATTATCATAGAAACGGACACGGGACGCGACGTCAGCCACAGCTGGCATCTATACGTAGTGGTTCTCGACCTTCTATACGGGACTACGAGGTCGGTCTCTGCGTTTTCGGCCGTAATCCGTCACTCCACTGCGGCTAAACGAAATAATGCTTCCTCTCATTGTCCTGGTTTTTTGTGTTATCGTGATAACAAATAATAATATTATTATTCCGTGTAGTTTGTCGACCGTATAATGCGACGGTGGCAACAGATATCCACCCCAAACAATAGGCTGCCATTGGGGCTAACGAACCTATATATATATATCGTTACATACGCATATATATATATGCAGCATTGACGATGACGCATTGTACATACGCGTGTGTGTGTGTGTGCCTGGTTTCGTGTACTCTAGATACGTCTCTGCCTATAGAAGACGTTAGGTAATAATATATATTTTAATGACATGTTATTGTACGCGCGGTCCGAATGTTTGATGTCACATTGTCCGAACGGCACGGCTGCCGGTGGCTTTTATTGAGAGACTCGTCGTGATATGTACCTTATATTATATGCTCCGTATACCTACTATACAAACGGAAAACTCGATCATATGGTATTGAGTTTATCGATTTCCATACGGCCGTGAACTCGTGCACCGTCACWGAGTTACCTATATAGGCTATAATATAGTCCATATTTTTTGCAAAACATCTTAATACATTTTTATAACGAGATAATATTATTAATTGTAACAGGCGATTCGAGGAGGAGGAGGCAATATGGGTGCTCCAGAGCCGGATTGGGTAGTCTCAGCCCTTTGAGAAATATTTTTCTATCAGCCCGTTATTTGCTATAGTCAGTGGCGAAACGAACCTAAAATAACCCATAAGCAAACTTACAATTTAAACACCTACCCACCCAACCACCGAATTACCCGCTATAGGTATCTATTATATATTATAGCCACGGCACCCAYCCACCCCCAAACCTTAAAAAATCAAGAAGCAATCGCTTCTCAAAGACTACGGTCGTTTCGCCACTGGCTATAGTAGCTCATGTTGGACAAATTTTTAATATCAATAAATAATAATAATGATCTTATCACGTTAGCTGACTGTATACTATTATATAGCTGTCGTTAAAATCGTAACTTATTGGGCATTGTGGCAAATTTATTATACCAGTCCAAAATGTTAGCGGCCCTTTGAGATTTTCTCGAATGCTTGACTGGCCTTTCCGGGCCTGGGGTACTCTGACAATCCCCGTGATCAAGTATAACCGTAATAAAATAAATTATCTAATACAATATAAGATATTTAAAGTAAAAAAGTAAAGCCAATAAATTTTGAGTACCCCTTGTTAAAATTTTCTGGATCCACGTCTGTATGAATTATACTTTATAGAGTTGACTAATTCTAGAGTTGCGACCGAGAACTTTTTTCTACAAGAAATAAAAAAAGTTCGTTTACCACGCATACATATGCGCTATAGGCCTACACTCACAGAATTAGTRATTTTTACATTTGTTTCTCTTTATTCGAATAGAATGTATTAATTACTATATTTTGTAATGATATTATCTCCGCCTAACGTTACGCAATCGCTGTTTCACATCGTGCGGCTAGATATTTTTTAACACTTTAGATTGCACTGATATTGGTTAGGGTGCCTACGTGTTCTCGTGTTGAGTCAATCGTGTACGAGACAAACCAAACGTCTGGCATTCTGGCTAGAACACACGTGTTATATTTAATATTAAACGTGCAAATATCTATCGGGGGTTTCAAATTTTGACCATCAATCGATCGATACACCGGACCATCATGATCTATGCGTATACCTATACTTGCTAATCGCGAGATGGTATTACTATAGCGTACGTGATTCCGGTCGAAACGAGTACATTCACTAACGAGAGATTAAAATATATCAATACTATTCTTATGTAAATAATAAACATTATATTTTTTGATTTCAGTTACACGAGCATATGGACGTAGATGGCCTGAGGACCTTATTTCACGTGGAACACCATTCAGAAGGTACAATACTATCTCTTATATTAAAATACTATATCTAGACTTTATTTCAATTGACACTGATCGTAAAACATTATAGCCTACGTTGGGTGAATATTAATATATAATATATTATTTAGCTGATATGATGTTATCAGCATACTTACTATAATACACACTATTTGCAATAGACAGTATAGGCAGTGTAATAGGTAGTACGTACTAGGTTTATTAATTATTACTATTCCAATGGTATTATGCACGCGTGGAGATGTTAATCGTCGAATGTTTTCGGGAGCATATTAGTTTTGTTTTTCATAAAATATTATGAATTTAAAATACGCTACTCTGGTTTACACTGTCTAGTCGGGGTGGATATTAACGCAAAGCCGCAATACTACGGTAKATTAAAGCTCTGAGCTAATACCGAGTAGATCGTTATAACTACTATTCAGAGACACTATTACTAATACAAGAAATTTCCGACTGTAACATATTTTTACTAAACAGCAACACCAATATCCACACGGCACATTTTTATTTTATTCTAATTACTACGAGATGTGGGTAAACTGGCAAACGACGCGAATCGATCATCCCACTTCATCTTGTTACGCAGTTATAAAGTACCTACCAGTCTATAACCCGTTATTGTAAGTCATTCTCATTATGTACTCTTCGCACAGATGATATCAAAATATCACCAATGTTTTTGTCWTATGGTTTTCTATTCCTGTAGATTTTTTCGTGATTTTTATTACAAGTACAGAGTTATTCTTTATTTAAACGATATCAAATACWAACATAAATTAATAAATATATCGATAGGTATGCAATTACTATAATATACCTATTTAACTAAATTGTATTATTACTTAACTATGCAATTGACCATCGTACAAACTATGTACCTATCGTTGAATCATACAATATATGAATGTAATAAAGCACTTTTCACCACCATCATACTGGAGGCCGTATATTAACAATTAAGGCCGAAAAATCGATAAATTTATTTATATTTATTTATCACAAGAACTCATTAGTTAGCTTATAGTGTGTGCAACATAAATTTAAAATATAAAATTATCATAAATCTTATCTCCATCCAAAATTAAGACGCTAATTATTGCCAGACGTTTAATCAACGCATAGTGTATAAATTGCATGATAATCAAATTGATAAAAKTTTAAGTGTTAATATCTATTGTTTTGTTCACAGTTCCTGTTTACGAGGTGATCAGTCTGCACTCGGTTGTCAAACGGAATGCGGACGGAGCGCACAAGGTTCGACTGAAGGCGTTCGGAGAACATCACGACTTGCAGTTAGAGCCGTCGGATCGTCTTTTTACGGGCGACAAGTTGCGTGCCTGGACGGCACATCANAAAGTTATATATTTTCAAAATTTGAGGTCTGGATAAATATCAATTGTTCACATTGAGCTTTTATAAATCCAAAGTTTGAATCCGATAGGTGTAAATCCAAGTAATCGTTTGTAAAGGTAAGTTTGTCTTATGAATTTTACAATGTACCTATGTGATTTCAAATAGTGTTCAGTTTGTATTCTTATAACAAATCGATGTAGAAATCTCGGTGATTTTTTTTTTTTTGCTTTACCTATATTATACTATATTCTCATTGATGCGTCAAGTACCTGCTGGCATCTAAATGTGCTAATTGTGCTCCATAAAGTATTTCTAATAAACGGCAAAAAATAAAATAAAACTTTCATGGGTACTATTCCATAAAATAACTAGAAACAAACAGCATGATTATGATGCGATATAAATGACAAATTAGACACGAGTTTTTTTTAACTTTTTAAATTCCCTGACATCGATGATCGATCGTGTATTAAATCGGCTATAGCATAATAAATATTATACAGTGACTGATTCCTAGTACTTGGTAGAAAATGTAATGTAGCCGGTGTTTGGTATATTATCTCTGATAAATGCGATAAAAATAATTGATATTATTATATCATAGAATACTCACTATAATAAAAAAAAGAAWAAAATAAATATATTCAACCATACCATAAAAACACTATAATATGACGGAGAGTAACGAGAAAGGCATTCTGCAGTATAATATACGAGTTATGTTTTAGATTTTGGCGAATATGTTATTTTCCTCTTTTTTTAATAGACGATTTGTATTCCAAAAATGTATCACGATGCATTTTAATATTTTATTGTATTGATTACTATTTACGATTTGACGTCTAAAAACGTACCTAATACCTATGCGTATATAAAGTATTATCTACGTCATCGTCGTAATTTTACGGGTTTAACGGTTGTACAATAATTATACACCTTACTGATTATCATACTTTCATACTGAAAAATAATTTTTAAAACGAAAACCTAATTTCAACTTACTTTAATTCCTCTACTTTAATTATGACATCATATTCATAGATAATATAAYGAATAATTTAAACTTTAAAGAATGTTTAGCGAGTTCAGCAGATTAGTTTCAACGTTTCTGCATATATCTTAATTTCACTAAATTCGTAATATTTTTATTCAATCGATGATTTTTGACGATGGTCCTTTACATATTTTAAATTTTTTACGTGTACGAATAATAATAACATAACATTTATTATTTTGATGAACAAACTAGGTTATACGAATCTAGAAATGGTGTATAATGTGCATAGGTAGTGGAAACTATATCATGTAATGCCATTTAAAATTCAAAGTAATATTAATGTTAATTTAAATGTTTTAACGAATTTTAAATGATCACATTTGCATACATTCCTGATGGATATTTTACATTTATTACCGATGATATAATTCATTGATTATTTTATTTATAATTACTAATTAGTAGACAGCAAGTATCATAATTAAGTCGATAAAAAACGTTAAATTAAGTCGTTTTAAAAACTATATAAAAAACAAAAATATTACATTTTTCTAATCCTAATGTTTTTTAAATATTTGTTATTGATAAAAATAGCTGCGTTTATAATAATATTATTCATGTGCCTATTCATGTATGCCAAATGATTTCCACATCGTCAATGGTATTATAGAAAATCATAAGAATATAAAGCATGATTTATTCAATATCTTCGGTTGGAAAAAAATATTAGGTACATTAATATCTTATATACACTAATAATAATGTATTCACTATGGTGTAGAGATATGCTTTATTTCATTATTTGGATGAATATGTGTGGAGGAAGGGGAAATTTATTTATACAAGAAAATTGGAGTATATATGATGCCCTAGCTGGCTAGCTGATTGCATAAGTGTTTTGTTTGCATAATTGTTATTTTTATAATTGTTGAGCTATAATTGTTAAGCTACAAAAAGGTAATACAAAATAAAATAAATTGCCCTAGAAAAATACAGCCATAAATATATAAAAACATAATTTTTGGCGGTCGTTAACCTCAAAATTATCATATTGTCCGAGTGTAAGGTAAGAAAAAATTAAGCCATAGAAGAACTGACCCCATCCCCTTTACATCAACATATGTGTTCGTTCGTGGAAACACAATATAAAATATAACATAGTATATAATGTAATAGTGAGAAGGATATAGTACGAATTATTTTTGTTTTTTGAATAACCTGGTTATTCAAAGGTTATACTGTTAATACAGTCGTCTCTACTTTATAGAGACAGTGCCTGCCACCTGGGATACATTGGTTTGTGTTATTTTGTCCCAATTAAGAGGTTGTCCTAATAAATTGAATAAAATAAGGACATGCAAATTTGTTGAAAAATTATATTAATGTATAGATAAATATTACATAAACTATTTATTAATACAAAAAAAAATATTGTATACCAACACCAATTATTTATAAAAATATGTAAATAGATCTTAATAAAATATTTTTTTATTTTATTGTTTTTTTTTTTATCTTATTTAAAAAAAAGTATATAGGTATGGTATAAAATAGGATGAATATTGAATATGTCCCGATTATCCGGATTCGTGGCCCAAATAAGCGGTGAACGTTTACACTACAACTATATATTTGCTTTCGTAATTAAAGAATTGTCCCGATTAAGCTGTTGTCTTTATTAACCAGTGTCTCTAATAAGCGGAATCGGCTGTAATAAATTATTGTTAAATTATTTAATATTATTATTATTTAATTGATAATACAATTTTTAAATTGAATTTCAAAATAAACAAACTCATTGTTACTTTCTCCCAATTTTATTATACCTATTCGTTGCAATGATAATATATATGTCAGGACATTTTTTTCAAAGTTCAAACCGGTTTCCAACTTTTTGCTCATAAACGATAACGCTTATCGTCAGTTTCCTGTTTTTACCCTAACAAAAACCTAGCGTGGGTRACGGTTGTATGTGAGCGTGTATATACTATATAGTATTGTAGTACCTATTATGTTAGTACTCGTATATACAATTCATGTTTATTCGTTGTGTTATTTACGCATTGTGATGTCACTCGTCGAGGTTACTATTCAATAATAATAATGGAAACGTTAGATAATGAATTAAGACATATACATGGCAAGATAATAAATGAATAAAACATTGACAATACCTATATATACGCGTTACGGCCGTTTACCATTCTAAAATAAAATAAAATTACACAGGTGATTATTTTATAGCGTTGAACTCATTGATTCATTGACAAACATTGTCTTGGTCAACTTTTATTTTTTTTTTTTTATATATTTTTTTTTAGAATAATTAATAAAAGCCTATATAACCTAATATAACAATAATTTAATATTTAAGTACAAATAATTTTATATTTTATCTGATATTTATATTTTTATAAATTTCGAGTTTCAAAATGATCATATAAAAGTTCAATAATAATTGTGCTTTAGGATATAATGATATAAAGTAAACACTTAAAATTGTATAAAAACTCAAATATTTTATGGGATTTAGTGGAATGATGAGTATTTTTAAGAAAACAATAATTTATTTTTGGTGAGGTAGGTATAGATAATAATACGAATATATAAAACACATTTTTATTTTATAATAACGCTAATATGGCAATCTTTGTAAATAAAAAAAAAAAGTGGATAATCCGGGGGTAAAAGTGTACCAATTTTTCTGCGTACACTTTACAGTAAGGCATTAAACCCACAATATTTAAAATGAAAAAAAAATAATAATGATCCGATTTTAATAAATTTATACTCTCCTCCTCGAATACACAGTGATTTTGGCAACGTTTCAAATATTCAAATCTCATATTATAACGATGACAAGTATTAGCTGCATGTATAAGTGTGCTTGACAATTAGCTAGTTTTTGCATTAGTTAGATATTTTTTTCTTTCGCCAGCTGCAGACCAGCTTGACAGCCGACAGGTATTATGAATTATTATTATATGCGACTATGTGTTAAGAACCGCAAAAGATTTTTCAACTCTGGATTTCTGCGTAAGTCTTAAAATTGATTACGAGAATTTTCAGTTATTATAATGGAGTTTGTAGAGATTTTTTTATATTATATTTATATAAATTTAAAAAAGGTACAAATGTTCGCGGAATTTTTTCTTYACTTAAAATTTAGGTGTTAACATTTTTAACTTAACATTATTGGTTAGTAAAATATTTTTCTACAAACTTTGAATTATAAAATATATTTGGTGTTATTTTATCTTGAATCAATATTCAATTGTCAATTGTTATATCGAGATTTTTCGCACAAATAACATAATATATTTATATTTCATATCCTAGAAGACATGCATAATACTAATTCTTAGTATACCAACGTCCTACATAGCCACATAGGTATCGTGAAAACTGTTTAACCTAAGATTACATGATGTCGATCTTATTGTCAACGTCTAGTTATCGTGTCTGTTATACCAAAACAACTTCAGCATTATTAGGTACTAAAGGTAGACCTATTATAGCTCCGCCAAGACTTGTTTTAACTCGTAAAAAATATATAGAGCTATAAAATATAAATTATAACATATATGTTTTACTTATACATATATACACATAATATGCATAATGAATACGTTGTACGAAACGTTAGGACTGTTATGAGTCAATGAAATTGTTTTTTTTTTTTTAATACTTAATCCAGTTAATCCGCGCACATTCATCTATGCGCGCGTTGTACAAAATAATACATAAATATATTGGTCTATCCTATTATACAATAACCGATATGAATATTCAAATAAAAATTGTTATTGTGTATATGTATGGACGTGTATTATTATTATTATATAGTTCCTGCACACTTGCATATTTCACACACAAGCGTGTTATATAATAATAAACACCCACACATGAGTCTATCACTCCCGATGAGGTGTGGTACCTACAGTATTTTCAACGGCCAATACGCATTTTAAGTATACACGATTTAATATATACACCTATATATTATCATTATATACCAACTAAACATGTGATTTCTCCCGTCTCTGTGAAATGATTACTAATAAAATTACCGAATAAAACCAACAGGCTCATTTTGCGCACACTATGCACACGTATGATACATAATACTATAATATTCCATTTTTCTATCGTTAATAATGTGTGATAACTGATAATAATATGATATATAAATGCGTATCCCGTACAAAGAGCTCGCGTATATGGATAATAATATAATGGAAACGTACAAAATACGACGTGTACCTACCGTACCTACATGCTACACATATTACATATAACATCATTATGTAACTGCCAGCCGCCCAGGGTTCAAACCGATCGAGTTGTTTTCATTCATATATTTGTTACTCACATAAAAATACCTATTAAAGCATTATAGTTGGTCAAGAAAACGAATTGGAGAGAAAGAACTCGCTTAAAACGACTTAACGTCGTAATGTTTACTTATATACATGTGTTTCAGATGCGGTACCTTACATATATATATTATTAATCAAAAACCCCTGTCGTATGGAGTTGTGGTTAATACGATTTATATGATTGGTTCAAACTGCACGTGTACATGTGATTAGGATTTGCCACTAAGAACCCCCGAGTGGTCACCCATCCAGGAAGTAGTGATCCCGGCCGGTATCGGTAGTCAGAACACTTTTTTGATCTGAAGTATACGTTAAGCTACATCACATATTAACTATTAACATTATAMTAGAAAAAGTCGAATAACAGGATGCGAGTTTAAATATAATTAACATTTTGAAATTCGACATATTAATATGTTTGTAMAATTTGTAAATAATCACATAATTCATAATTAGTTAATTACCAACCTCTTATGGACGATGAATACGGATCCTGATGATCTATATAAAATATAGGTACACATATACACATAGAATTATGCATTATACCTAATTTATAATTTYCGTTTAAATATTATGATCAAATTTTATACATTGCATAATTCGATGTGCCATTTTGCGTGAAATAGGTTAACTAGCATAACTCAATGAAACTTGCATCGATAAATTGTATTTCCAAAAAAAAAAAATACTTCACCACGGCCAATTATTATGTCGTTAATACACGAGTCTACAAAGTAGAACCATAACTATGATAGCTTGCAACTTCGCGTTATAGTGTCAATAAYACCGTTAGAGCTTTAGTTTTAGGAGGCCTATACGAGGACGTAGCTAGGTGACACACACCTTTCACCACTCCTTTTCATGTACCTATATTAATTATTTTTAAATAACAGTGACAAAAAAATTAAAAAATTCTTATTGATTAAATCAATTTTCTCATTATCTATTACGTATTCCTAGGGCCAAGAAACTATATTTTAACARCTTTTAACATTCCTTGTGAAAAAATTTAAAAAATATAGCAAAACTTATTACATAGAAATACTTACATAGTTACATCTATAGAGATTGTTTTCATTAAATTAAAAATCAAATGTAATATTTTGAACGATAATATATCAATGCATAGTATTATTCTGATATTATAAGCTTCCAATGATTCATATAATATGACGAATATTTTAAAAATCTAYTTGTTAGGTTAGGTTTTATTTAGGTTCTATTATTTTYCTAACCATATAATACAACGATATCTTTGTGAAGAGAACAAAATACATTATAGGTACGCGTATATCTTTCTACGATATTTTGATTCCTTTACGTTATTTCATCGTTGAATATTCTATTCTATGTATTATATAATTATCATTCATATGCACCCATAATATGATAGTTATTTTTAACGAGTTTTTTCGTTTGCCTTTTGCAGGAACACATCGGAGTGCCGTATCAGGACGTTGGTAAACGGGCGGCGGTCATATTACACAACGACCACGAGGACGGAACGATTCTTATGGTAAGTCTGTCGCGTCTCACTAAGTGACAAGGCCATGTCAAAACTATAATATGACAACGTTATAATAATAGTAGATAATATAATATAATATATATATAAAAATATAATGGACCAAAAGACGAGTAGTCGTAATCAATGTAAACCCAATGACCGCTATAACGCTACGTTGACAAACATGATGGTTAATGCGACATGCGTCTTCCTTTAATGTGTAATAACTATTGTATATGATTAAGTTTAGGGGAATAAATAACGCATATCTTAAATATTGTATAATATATTATATATTATGCGCAACGAGGCGACGAAATAAGGTCGCTTGGACGAATATAAATAGACGTACATAAACATAGTGGAACGGTTTTTTTTWAACTTAGTCTTCTTCTTTGATTAATGAATTGGCACGAACACCGCGCACTACAGCARTTGCAATATTGGGTCATTGAACAATATACATAATTGAAAAAAATTATTATTATTACTATCATTATATTCTTCGGGAGCTGTTGCACAACCAGATTTCGATTATAACAATATAAAAATATAAATGGAACAACGAAACAATAATAAACGAATAACTACAATAATGTGATGGTATATAATATATCTATAACGCCATCATATTAATTCATAGATGATCAGACCTGTGAAACCGCCACCGGGACTGATTAGGAATCGCGATGGATCCCACGACAGAGAAGTATCGCGTCGTATTGTTGTAAATCGCCTGCAAATATCGAACATGGGCGCGACAGATAATATAATAATATTACGGATTGTTCACATCGTACGGTGGATTGGAGTGATTGGACACGGAATTCGTTCCGGTTACGCGTGGTRTCTGACCCCTAGACGAGGTTACATAATATTATGTCTAATACCGTAGTCGTTTACAGATCTGATTGCATGATTGCAGGAGTACAGACAGATGATGTAAATTGATTAAAAATCAAAATAATAATTAATACATAATATTGTATTACATAGTAGTATTAGTAGTAGTTAATAGTTATACATATACCTGCAGCTTAGATATGATGTATAAATACATTTTATACCTAATATATAATATTATTCATATGTCAAAAAGAATGTTATATAAGTATAYGTACTTGTGTACGCACACACAATATACATAATATTGGTGTCATTCAAGTACGTTCGTCGAAAAGTTTGCAATTTGTATTTATATTATAATGCGCCGGCTCAAGGTTTGAACAGAAAACAATAATGTTCAGATGCAGAGTCTACTATTCTGCCGCCCATCCTAAGCGTATATTACACGAGGTTACCTACATACGTATACCTATTGCATTATATATACATATATACATATATACATATACATATATATATATATATATATAGTGTTATATAATATAATTAAACATAATATATATAATAGGACGTGTGTCCAAATGCTGTATTTAGATTTTCTTAGAAATTAGTTGTTAAGCATAATAATTATGTCAAACGTCGACTGTGTCTCATCGGCGTATAGATCTGTAGATTTTAGGTATACTTATACTAGTTGGAATACTATACTTGTTGGTATACGAATTTACAATCGGTAATTCATCAATGTTGATCTGAGAGCTCTACAGAAAATACAAAATTAAAATTAAATTTAAATGTAATAATAATATTATTTATGTTTAGGTATAGCGTATAGATATATTATGTGCAGAAAATTGTTTTGAATTCCAACCTATTGTTTTACATATATGTTCTTAGTGTTCTTACCTATACTGTAAACGAATATCATATAATATGGTGGAATAATAATAAATATTAAATATAATAAGACTGCTTAAATACGATAACATAATCGTTATAATACTTAGTATATAACACTATAACTAGATATAATAATATTATTATAAATTACAATCTATATCAGAAAACAACAATAAAGTGAGAGGAAGACTTTAACGCACGGACTGACGTAATAATGCCGAGGATAATTTTGGATCTAATACAATATTATATATTCCTAATATAAAACAATGGAGAAATTAATCGAAAAATCTAAAACSAATATGGACATGTGTGCGTTTTYTAAGTCAACGGGATATCGATTTCTACAAATGTAAAATTCAAACTTTTATTCGGTAATCTGTGATATCTATAATAACCAATATATTATATCTAATATTTTTGAAACATTTTTATTGAGCGGAGGAATCCTAACTATAATAATTACTTAACTATATATTTATAAACATGTAGAAGCCAAAATCGTTTGTTGGTATAATGATATTCCTCAAACACGAAAATACTCGTAACTTTAGAGCGTGTATTTAATATAAATATAAATATATTTAATATTAATTTATTATTTATATTTATTAATATATTAAAATACATACATGGATTTTTTTTTAAGTATACGTATTATGGATAGGTATCGATAATTATACTATGCATAAAATACATTTGGCAATAAAGATATTATTAAGACTTAGACATTAGGCATCATCATATTAAATACATTTACTTCGTATTGAATGGTTCATACACTATTTAACAGACTCTACTTCTAAAATGTTTCTATACAGGTATACATTGTAAACACTAAGGAATCTAAATTATTGTATCAGATAACACRCATTACACAGTCATAATTTTAATTTATTTTTTGCATAGTTTTAGCAAAAAATCTAAGTTACTATTAATTATACCTAACATGATTTTATTAAATTTTAAATTAAGTCTAAGTGGGTTTCTTTTCRTGAAACCACCAATGCACCAACAATAAATAAACTGTATTAATACTAGTCCAGTAAAAATGTTAACCTTGAAACATATACCTAATAGATAACATTAAAAAAAAAATCATTTTAATATTGTTTTATATTATTATATTCCCACGGAAACTTAACAAAACAACCTACTCTTTCTTTTCTTGTGAAAACCATTATTGTAATGAAACTATATATTATCATAATCATAACGTTTTGTTCAAATATTTTGGCCATAGAAATAAAACGTTTGATTAATATTTATTAACGAGCGCCTACCTACCTATACATGAGTGTTACCTTTTGCATGCGGTGTATAAATAATATTATGTACCTATTGTACCTATATTATAACTAGGTATATACAATAATTTAAATAACAGTAATGAAGAATGATTATGATAACTTATACTGTAGGTATTATATTGTCAATATTTGTAAAACAACTTATTTATACTGCCGCACGCCGCATRAGAAATATTATAATTAGTTTTAATTAAATAATATAATAAATATTTCGATTTTATAACCAGTTTTGGGTGCGCCTATTAGGCAATAATATATATCTTGTAATTTTCATCAGATAACAATTTGTTTACAAAACGCAAGCGTTTGAATTTGTTAACACCTGCAGCGAATCCATTATGTTTTATTATTACTTATAAATATACTAGTGTATGCAGTCAATAACGACGATGCGCCGCTAGTTGTTTTAAAAAAAAATTAATAAAAATTATCGATCTCGAATATCCGTATGACACATTTATCGAACGGTGATACATATTTTTTAGGTTGTTTTTCGTCCTTAAACGTCTAAAATGTTTATTTATAACCTGTGTGCCATACATAAATGGCTGCAACGATAGATACAATATACGTAACAGGTACAGCAATCAATAATAGTTTATGACCACGGGTAGTTCACAAGTTCCAAAAAAAAAAAAACGCAAACTTGTATGATTGAAATCATATAACGAATATAATACATCTGATAGATAGATTCAGGTAGAAATAAAAATAAAAAATACTTTTGAATGATTTGTTTAAATATTATATTGTCTAAATAAAGGTTTTGGAAAATGTTATGAATCTCTGCGCCCTCAATGACTACTTCTATTATTGATATACTACTAATCATAAGCTCTACAGRTCATAGTGGCGTAGTGGCTCTTGGCTTCCAAARAAATTCTTCCCAATTCATCGCAGAACATTTCTCAGTTCCATACATTCGTTTATTTTCGATCTTTCTTTACTTCATCTATCCATATCTAGCCTTCCGGTTACTTCCATTCTTGCAAGCATTAAGCGTTTGGGAATTTTTCTTTCTACGTGATCAAACCATATATTATGATCTTGCATAATTTTGTGTATTTCCCTATTAATTCATTTTCTAAAATCTGCTCCAAATGTGTAGTGCAGGCGTCGACAACCCGCGGCCCTCGGAACTTTTTGCTACGGYCCTCCAAAGACATTTCACGGTGTTTAAAATTTCAATTTTATAGCTTAAATTGTTATAAGTAATATTTAATCATGACTATATTATGTAACAATGCGAGAACAAAGCTATGAGTGATATCGTAATCTAATTGTATATAATGTATATATCGTCGATTACGACAAATACGTATCCGGAAATGGCTTTAGTGCAGTTCGTTTCGAAACATTCCAACGTGAAGTTTAAATTTCAACCGTTTTATAATAACCTATCAATTCAATGTCAAAAAAACGTAAAATTAGTGATGAAAATCGTACATTCAACGAATCATGGATGGATTTGTATTTTTTTTTATCAAAAATAAAGGTAAACTGTTATGTTTAATTTTCAAAGAACCATTTTATCTGTAAAAGAGTATACCTAATGTTAAACATCACTATGAAACAGAACAAAAATTGCTTTTAAAGAAAGTTATGACCTAAAAATATTTTATTAAGTCTTCCTGAAATATATTTTAAAGGGATTAAAAGTTTTCCTAAAAAAAAATATGTTTACTGCTTTCGGTAGCACATATATTTGTGAGCAGACATCCTCAATAGGTACTTAAATTTCGAAAAATTAAATATTGTTCACGATTAAGCGATAAACACTTGAATGCTGTTTTAAGGATATCCTGCAACATCAAATATAAAAGCGGATAMAAACGAATTGGCGGGAAAAATTCATCCTCAAAAATCACACTAGTAACTTAATATTGATACATTAAAATGTACTCAAGAATTGACACTGTAGTGATTAGCAGGTGATCTACTRATCTGATAAGTTAGGAATTTGCAGTCTACTGATTTATACTCACTGATTTAGTGATATATTCTGAATTATATCTATGGCACATTGGCTCCTGTCTATAATATTTTAACAGTTTTAAATGTTTTATTGATCATGTTTCAATTCTATATAAAAATAACAGCGGATAAATATTTTTTAATAATTATGTTGTAATATTTAAATCGAAATGATTTGATTTGAATTCTTTTAAAAAATGTGCCAATCAAAACCGGTCCTAACTCCTAATGCTTATGCAATACATATACGTTTTTTCATATTGAAATATAAATTATTTTTTTAATTAAGGGCGTAAAAATTTCAATATAGATAAATACCACCCTCTGTAGGGCTATATTGTGTACATGGAAACTCCTGCACAGTGATACGCAGTGGGGTGGTGAACGACGTTTACCTAATGCAACTGTTTAGCCCTAGAACAAATATTGAAAATTTGCAGTATACAGAAAATTATACTTTTATGGGGGGGAGGTCATTGCATAAATAATTTGCTTTGGTTTGAAAGATGTTCACCACGCCACTATATATGCGATGATATTTCATTTATTATTATATCACAACCCAAAGGCCAAAGTTAAATATTTTATACGTATTATAATCGGTCTCATGACTGTGAGGGGGGTTGTGGTGTTTAGGTGTTCGTTATTGCAGTAAGACGGTTTGCCGCTTGCTTGTTTGTTCACGAGACACGGGCGCTTATTATTCAAAACAATACCCAGTTAGTAGTTACTATATAATAATTTATACTTTATATACTAATTACATTAAATATATCATAGCGATAGTGTATTCCATATACAGCGTCAAGTTTATTAAAGGACATACCTAACTATACATGCACATCACTAACGTGTATATATTTGCTTATGTTAAACGGCGGAAACTTCGTTGTTAAATATAATATTATGTATAATATTGTGAAATACGATGATAGCCAACAGTAGATCGTTATTTATGCGTTTAACACTCGATCATTATTTTGTGTTTCCAATAAATAAATATTTTTATAATGTTATTATTTGGCTTACAAAGTTACAACTATMTACTCATTCTCGAGTCTCGACACACGCCAAGTCCAGTGTTCTTACTAATATTAATGCAAACAAATCTCGCACGGTTGTTATGAATGATGATTTTTTTATGACTCTGCAGATGATGAATTTCGAAGAATTAGACAGGAGATATCTGTCACAAAATTTTGATGCAATATATTTTACTTATATTTATGACTTATGTGTCCTAAATACTCATCATCAATAATTCTCATTTGTTTGAAACGCTTTCATAAACATATTTAACTCCAAAGTTAATAACACAAACAATTTACATTGAAAAAATATTATTATTATTATTATTTCTATAAAATATAAATAGGAATATTACGTCATAAACATAACAATTTACATTGAAAAAAGTATAATGCTCAAAAAATACCATCATAAAAATAATCAAAAAATGCATTATATAAGAGATATCGAAACATATTTTCAAAACAAAACTATTGACAACTGATATGAGTGTTTGCAGTTGCAATGATTGTATATTTTATGTTACATAATATCAAATTATAATATGTGTTTTATGTAAAGGTTTATACATCTACGAATTTTTACTTTATTTTAAAACTCCGATATCAAATTAAATTAAATTATGTTGTAACCAAATCACATTTTCAAAAAAAAAAAAATTTAACCACAACATAAGTAATAGTAGTTGATATTCTAAATTATACCTACTCTGAAATGATTTTTGTGATTCTACAAGATCGTGTATAGGCAATATTTACATAAAAACTGCAGTTCACTTAGTAATATAKCATCAACGTAATATACCAATAATAATATCTAGTAGGTATATATTATATGAAATACACCAATAGTGTCCACCGGACGCATATCATTATTACCTACCATACCTGATGCAGATGATACATGCAGGTACGCAAGGAAACGCAAGACTATGGTCTTTTTGTTTCTACTCCTTTTTTTTTCGTTTCTTGGCTTCGGCTCAAAAATTAATTTTTTTTTTCGACATTAGAACGAACGCTTAGCATCCGTCCGTGTTTTTTTTTTTTCTAGCCATCGATACACATGTATATTACGTGTATATATAACATGTTTATTTTACGTTTCTTTCATTGCTCAAAATTAAAATAGTATATGTTATAAAAATGTACATAACCCTACCTTTTTCTACCCATCGTCTTACCCGATTTTATTAATTTTTTATGTTTTCTTGTTAACACTCGGTCGTCTTCGTCGGTTATCTGCACTACTCAAACGAATTATTTTACGACACGTTTGCAATGTTAATATTACCGACCAGACGCCATAGAATAAAATTACGTTATGGCCATATTAAGAGGCAGATACCAACAAAACGTTTACACGGTGCACATAATTACGTGTTTACTTTTGTCGTTTAGTTATGCATTTTTGTTTTTTGTTTATCTTTTAAACTGTGGAATATTGCGGGACGTGTCTTTTATACATTGAAACCATCATATTATTATTAGGTAGGTAGGCATATTATTATTTACTTTACCTTGTGCCATTGACATCGCCCAAAACCTAATGGAACCTACAATAATCTATGCACGCACACAATATGTTATATTGTATTCAATGGAATTTAATTCAGAAAAGAAATCATTTTTTTTTTTTTTATTCAGAACTCTGCCTATTGTTGTTTAATAGTACTGCAATGCCAAGCCTTATAAGACACGTCATTATTATTAATATCGTACTTTAAATGTGCTTCGACGCTTATAATAATTATTAAAGAAGTTATTAATTTATACTAGTATTTCACAAACGCAATAAAACTAATAGTATTTTTGATGTATATAATATATATCTACGAATTTATATTAATTTTAATGAACTTCGAATATATATAACAACATAGTTTGCCAAAAACCACTAGCTAGGAAACTTCGTTAATATGCTTTAATTCGCTATAAAATTGTCTGATTAAAACATGTAAGTACTTATAGTAAGATGTTTTATGATCTTAGAATCGAGTTTAGGTACCTATATCTTATTGATTTTAAATTCATAATGTATTAGGTAACTACCAATTCGTTTACATTTTTATTTACTTACCCGACACACGCATATGAGATTTGCATTATTATTATTTAACCTATGAAATTATAATTCGATTTTTGTCGATTGCGATATTATATGTACTTTGTCGAGATGTGCAATGTATGTGTAAACATATCCGAACTATTACCCGTTACCGAAGTCTTGCATAATATACGATTGCCGTGTCAAAATCACTGATTTTTAAAAAAAAATTAAGAAATGATATCTTATCCAGGCCCCCCACAAGGTCAGAAGAACCAGTGGTAAGATGATTGGACTTCCGAGGGGCTCGGCGTTCATGCAAATAATTACTTCAACATATCTGTACTAGAAAAATGTTTTGATATTAATTGTTATTTAAGAGGGGCAGTATTAATAATGATACATACGTCCATATACATAAAGAGTTATCGAACAGGAACTCGGGGTAAACGTTAGATCGTTAGAAGATACCTATAGTCGGTTTTATAACTATAGATACAGAGATATTCTTTTACACGTTCGACGCTGCAGAGGATGTCGTCGCGGCTGTAAGATATGTCATCCACGCTAGTATATGCGTTGCACTAAATTATTTTTACAGAGGTTTGGGACGCAAAGCAACTTTCGCGGAATCGTTAGATACGGTGCGAKGAGGGCGAGAAAAATAAAATCACCAGATACGTGTTTCCGCCATAAACCAATATATATTATCGTACATACGTGAATCTAAATAACATAATAATATATTATTACGGTTTGTCGCGTGAAAAAAATATTAAATTATGTCTATTTGTCTGCGCAGCAACCGGTTTCCACGTCATGACAGTCTCCCCATAATATAATCCAGGATAGTCGAATTGCACTTATTACCTACAAACAAATGGTCGAATTGCACTTGGGTTTAAAAAAGGTAATGGTCGAACTGCACTCGGGTAAAAAACAGGTAGACCAAGTGCGGTTCGACCACTACCTGTTTTTTACCCGAGTGCAGTTCGACCATTACCTTTTTTAAATCCAAGTGCAATTCGACTAAAATAAGTGCAATTCGACCATACCCATGTAATCGTATCCTGCAATGCCAAACTTTGTCGTATTATATATACTTATTACATACCGCGGTATATAAATAATATTAAACTGCATATGGCAATAAGTATTGGGTTTAATCAACCGAGTAGACTAATTTTTTGAAAAGCGTTAATCGGATTAAATCTCACGTCCCATTCGTTTTCTACAGGAAGGTACCATCGGGGATCATTTGGTGGTGAAACCCGTCCCAACCGTGTACAGGAAACACGTMCAGTCCACCACCCCAGACGACGAGATGTTCTTGGATCAAGAGTCCCGAGACGGCGAAAACGAGGTGTCCGACCAGGGTTTTCCGCTCAAGTCACAAAAATACGTGGCACATCACAAGCACGTAGTGTACAGGAGGAATCCCGAAACTGACCGGACAGTGGGAGATTATGGTAAGATGACGCCCCGGTACCGACACATAATATATTAAAACCATTATTTGTAACAAATTGTATTGTCGGAAATTCGAAATCCTTTCGTTTTCAGCGCTAATGGAACCGGACGCGTTGCCGAGGAGTAGGAGGAAAAGATCGATCTCCAAGCGGGAAGCGCCATACGCCATTTACCCGGAAATAATGGTCATCGTCGACTATGACGGTTACAGGTACACGCGCCGTCGTATAATTTAGATTTAACGGATCACGACGATGATAATAAAATATATTGAACACGATTTAACGCTACACGATATGCTAACATAATAATGTTTATTCATACATAATAGCTTTGTAGCACATTTTAATAATAATAAATAAAAAACATTTTTCGATTTGTATATACAGGTTGCACGGGGGAGACAACGTACAAATTAAACGTTACTTTGTRTCATTCTGGAACGGCGTAGACCTGAGGTACAGACTACTGAAGGGCCCGAAAATACGTATAAGCATCGCGRGCATCATTATATCGCGGGTAAACAAAGTATAAGTATTAAAGACATAAAAATAATAATAATAATTTTAACGCGCAACGAGGACAGTCATCAAAGCGCCGGCATGCCGACGCTCTCGTCGGTTTCGATTCCGATTTCTTCGAAAAGAGCTTTCTTTGGTTTCGGGCAGTTCTCCAAGATCGAGTCCAATATGTCCATGCACATGCGTTTGCGTTTCCTGTATTCTTTGGTGACCATTTCGTATTTCTTCTTCACTTGTTCTTTATCCTTTGATGACACTACGTCGCCACTTGTTTTCGAAATTTGATTCAATTGCGATTTTAGTTCGGATACGGTTTTTTCCATTTCGGCCACTTTTTGCTTTACTTCCTCGGTGCTGTAGGTGCCCTGGAGCGCTTTCACTTCAACCTCGGATTCTTTGTACTTGCGCTCGACTTCGCGCAACGCCTCGTTAGTTTTCACCAACTCCTCATCAATCGACTGAATTTCATTTTGGTCTTCCACCGTCGAGTCCGGTTGAACTACACAGTAAATCTTCTGCTTGCCATTCATCTTCATGAAGATCTTGTTCTCCTTTACCAACTGATCGAGAGCTTTTTCCACGGCCGACTTTCCGATACCATTACGCTGTAGATTTGAAAACACATCGTTGCTACTGAACGGTCTGTTGACTTTCACCATGAACTCATAAACGCTTTTCTTTTCCGATCCCATGTTTGCTGCTGCAAAAAAAAAAACAATCTATTAAAAAATCTATTCATAAAATGCGATTTTTAGGCGAGAGATGCAACACCGTATTTGGAGAGGAATAGAGTCGGTAGAGACGCCATTGACTCGGCGGCTGCACTCACGGATATGGGTAAATACCTGTTCAAAGAACGAAGACTGCCAGTATACGATATCGCCGTAGCCGTCACCAAGTAAGCTGGTTCTGAATCTGAATAGTCTATGAATTCATAAAGAAAAAAAAAAAACATTAAATACAAATCAGTTTTTATTTTTTAACATCTCGAGTAAAAATAGATTTATTGCTTTTACTCCGAGACCCTACAAATTGATATTTGTGTGATAATATAAWATGGGACATTATAACCGACAACCAATGCATTTAGGTACGACATGTGCAGACGTCGAAAAGGAGGCCGTTGCACAAAAGGAACGGCTGGTATGTGGTAAATAAAAATAAGAGGGGAAAAGTGCTTGGTAGGGTGATAAGGGAGAATTTGTACATACTGCAAATTGTCGGCCTAAGAACGACACTTATACTAAACATCCTTCTGGGTTCGATGGGGATAGAGTATGTTATTATTGTGGTACTTATTGACGGAGCTTCTAACGTGTGTAGATGGTAGATAATTAATACTCAATACTATAATCTATATAACTATCTATTATATAATTAAACTGTAAAAATATATCATGTGTTATATAATACTTATACAATATACAAAATATCATATTTAAACCACTTCGTATTAGCGGACCGAGAGAGACGTKATTGAGTCCAGAGCAATGTAATAAATGACAATTCAGTACGGACTAAATAGCATATATAATGTTTCATTTTCAGATTAGACATGTGCAGGCGACAATACCCACACGATACATGCAACAGGGGTACCGCAGGTATGTCCCTGAAAATCCAAAACATATCAGTGCACTTGTAATTTGTTCGGCCCCCGGATATCATTTCGTTTCTCGCTCAAATAAATCGCACTTACAATTAAACATTGTATTATTATTATTATTTTTTTTTTTTGTTTTTTTGGCAAACAAAGGTTGCAGCAATCTTGATTCATTCACTGTCTGGCACTGAAATTCTGAAATTACCTGGAAATTATGTATTTAAGGTCACCATTATATCTTCTTTTACACTGTTATATATATATTATCATAAAAATTGTCACGTGTCTATTTTTAAACACTATCAGCAGAAAAAGCTGTGAAATGTTTTTTTTAGCATTTCATGACAGACAYACACACACCAAACACACAGCGCGCGCTATCACTCGTATACACTGGACACACGCAAACTCGTGACATGTGGTTATACTGGTGCGAAACTGGTTAGCTATTAATGGGTTATGCAAAGCTTTCTTTACGGTGATTTTTTCCTGAATAATAAAAATCAAATATAATTACTTATATTTGTGTATGCTTTTCTAACAAATATTCTATGAGTACATGCATGTATATAATATAAATTATATAAATAAATATATTATAAACTTATATCAGCTGCTCTGAACCGGTGTATCTAACATTATATACAAGGTAAAATGATTTAACAACATTACACGCTTTCCACTCGAGTGTGTTGGATTAACAGTTATATATAGTTGCACTTCATCGACGGACTGTCCSCCGGTAAAAATTGCTACCTAATTAATAATAGTAATAATATTTTTTTTTCACAACACTTGCGTTTGGGTATTGATTGGGAAAAAACGAAACGACTTTTTTTTTGTTCAAAAAACAATCGCGTTTGCTAATCTCCGTGTTCACTTGTATATAGGATTTGCGTACGTAGGCGGTGCTTGTGTAGTGAACAAACGTCTCGAGAAAGTCAATAGCGTCGCGATCATCGAGGACACTGGTGGCTTTTCGGGCATCATCGTAGCGGCGCACGAAGTCGGTCATCTGTAAGTCCAATCGCCACCATCAACCAAAATATATGATAAGCCACAAGATTTGTAAATCGCTGCAGGTTTTATTCTTAGCAGTGGCGCACAAGTCTTGCGTGTTTGACCGCGATTAGTAACCATGTGTGTGTGTGCRTATCGTTTTAGGTTGGGTGCGGTTCACGACGGTTCGCCACCGCCGACCTACCTGGGCGGACCAGGAGCGGAGAAATGTCGCTGGGAAGACGGATACATCATGAGCGATCTGCGGCACACGGAAAAAGGATTCCGGTGGTCACCGTGCAGCGTGTCATCTTTCCATCATTTCTTAAAGTTTGTACAACATATTCTATAGTCGATAAATTAAGTCTATTATGGGACATGATGGATGCTTGTAAATAATTATATTATGTTCGGTCTAAGACGCCAATGTGGGGTAAAGTGACTTAAACGCTCCGGGAAATGTCCCTGCGTCACTTGGAAGTAACGAAACCGTTGCCCGGCTGACTGTTGACGTCATTGATTATAAGCTATTGATCATGAACCGAATAGACATATAATGATATATATTGACAGTGAATTAAATATTTAAATAATAATAAAATAATTTTTCCGTAGTGGTGACACGGCTACGTGTCTGTTCAATTCGCCGCACGAAGACGAGTCACTACCAAGGATGTTGCCAGGAAAACTGTTGACTCTGGACGCCCAGTGCAGAAAAGACCGAGGGACCAGCGCCTGTTTCGTGAGTTATAACATCAAACGCATTGTATTGATATCATAAAAAAATAACATTTATATTTTGTTTGTCTTGCAGAAAGATGATCGGGTGTGCGCTCAGCTGTTCTGCTTTGACGCAGGTTCGGGTTACTGCGTGGCGTACAGACCCGCGGCCGAAGGATCACCTTGCGGAGATGGACAAGTGAGTGCTTAAACCAACGTTTGAATAAAAATGTTTTTTTTTGTACCTATTCGTATCGGAAATTGTACAAGAAAGGGGGGAGAYGTGCGTGAATATTTGAGCAGATAATTAACACATAATATCATTATTAGGCGGTTTTCTGATAACATAAACACACTATGATTGGTATGTAATACTCATAGAATAATAGGCTATGAATTATAGACTCAAAAACTAGTCAGCTAATTTTGACGATAAACTTAGTGATTATCCAATATCCATAGAGATAAGTACCGTGGAAGTTTAGAGAGTAGTTTGAACCACGTTCTATATGAAATAATTGTAATGTATAATGTTGCTACTGTTATAAGTTTTGGTTGATGTTGATGAATCGAAACTTATTCATTCGGTAAATTCAAATCAAAAAATTAATCATTGTCGTCACTCTGTTGAAACTTGTAGCATTGCACCAACGGCAAGTGCATAACGGAACACGAGAACATAATACCGGACTTTTCGCAAAACACGCCAGCTTATCTGCGCCGGTTGGGAGACGAAGGAGAAGCGACTCAAGACTGGCCGCAGTTTTTGACTCCTAACGTCACGACACAGAGGTAAAATCAAAAACAAAAACGCACTGGTTGCAAACAACKCGTAGGTACGACGATTCCGGTGACAGTCGTAGTGTATAATCGATCGYCTTTAATAATATCCCATATATAAGACGCACGATCGACGACGATCAGTGAAAGTGTGTGTTGTCTATACCAGCGTTTCCCAACCTTTTTGCAATGGCGACCCATAMATTTAATCTTTATTAGGTACGCGACCCCCTCCCCTTAAAAAAAAATATGCCTTAAATAAATAAGATTTTTAGTATAATCCATTTTATCATTGAGTTTTTTTATAAAATACAATAAGAATACAATATACTGAATAATAATAACTTAATTAATAAATAAATAAAATAAATAATACAAAAATACAAAAATTAGTATAATAGAAAATTTAGTGTGAACATCGACTAGTCACTAGTCATTAGCACATTTACCGATAAGATAAAAAAAATTCCATAATCATAATAACTTTACGTCATTTATTCTACAATACTAGTTATTTAAACTATTTATCAATTTACGACTAAAATAACTGTAATCGTAACCACGAGTCGCGACCCATTAAAAAAATTTCGTGACCCATGGTTTGGGAAACGCTGGTCTATACTATGATATACTGTAATTAGATCAGGGGTGGGCAAACTTATTTAACGGAGGGCCAACAAGTAAGCCCATCCCCGATTTAGATTGTTCGTTACTTTTACAYTGGTGCCGGTATCGATGCGACGACAATATTATTATTTTTGTATACCTGAAAATAACACTGATGTGCTGCAGTATAGATACAAGGCATCTTGTACTTGGATGTTTTTTTTTAAATCGATTAAGTATTTCTTGATTCGTTGACTCAGATTCTTAAACAACACGAAAAAAATGTATTTTTATTATGTTGAGCTAACAGTTCAAGTTTTTTTTAAATCAAAAACAACAMAAACATKMAACTGTTACTAACGTATTTATATCTATACAGGTGCAATAAAAACGCACAAGRGATGATAAATTTATGTTATTAACAGGTAATAATATAATTTGTCGTTGCAACGTACCCATAGCGGTACGCACTACGCACACGCTTGTGATGTATTTGTTTATAAATTTATAATATGCGGTGTTAATATATAAAATGCGTGTTTTCGACTAAAAATCGATATGGCAGTTGAGATATTAGTATACCGTAGATAAGTAAAATTCGTCAAATAATATTGTGATAGGTGTAGATTTTAAAGAAATGTCGATAACATTTACAACTTACATTTTTTTTTAGAAAAATATGATCTTAAGGGTGTCAGTGCCAGTTTTTCCAATGTTCCGCAATATTCCAAAACATTTGGAAATTATATTTAATATTTTAGTTACCTACTACTTTAATTGTAACACTTAATCCATTAATCCGCTTCCAATACCTATTTAAAAGGGAAGGGGGTTGTACAATGATTATACCAACGAAAATGACTTCACTGCAGGAAAAACCTCTCATTGATATATCGAACTTTGATCAYTTTTTTTAAATCTAATTTTTTCAGGTCTGATCAAAGCCTATATTTTCATTTTACTTTAATTAGTGCTAAAAAATACGTTTGAAGAAGAATAAATATTATGCATTATTCATATGTAGGTATATTTTAATTTCTATAATAAATTATAATTTTGAAGATTTAGATATGTACCAACCTGATAAATGTTATCTTATTTTAAATAAAAAATAAATAAATCCGATTTCATAATGATTGAAAATGGTCGTGAGAGTTTTTCCTGTAAGACATRTKTTTTT